TTGAAAAACAAGATTTAGTCGGATAGCAAGAGCGATTCCAATTTGAACAAGGGGATAACTGCATCTACACTTGGAAAAAATCGTTCTCGAAAAAACCTTGTTATAGATCTGACATGTAAGCTTCTGAACAAGAGAACTTGTCGAAGAAAATACAAAATCGCGCATGTAAACCCTTCTTATATGGGATTCGGTGTTGTGACTTGCATGTTTCAAAACTAACTCTTACAAAACATTTTTTTTATTATTTCTATCTCTAAAGCAAAATTTTCCGAGGCATATCACCAATGATTGCTCACAGAAAAGAGAATATCAGGTATAGTAACCTTCGATTTACTCAAGTAACGCGCAACTTGTTCCACACACTGGAATTACATTGCCGTCGTCCACTAATTTGTTTTATCAAATTGAAAATAATTATCGCAACTTAACAGTTATAAAATATCAGCAATACAATGTCAAAAGAGAGTGATGGAAATCATCATGTCTAAATACTGAGTAATTCACCTAGTTCAGGGAGAAAACTTGAAAAAATTAACGTGTTGAAATGAAAGGTTAAATACGGGAGCTCGTTGGTAAGGAGCCGACCATTTAACTCTTGAGGGGAGGGGGGAAGGGTGATTTTGAAAAAAATTTTCCTGCAAGCGCTTGTTGGAAGAAAAAAATTACATGCAGCCCAAATGTAACAGAAACAATGTAACAAAAAACCGGAAAAAAATATCCTGCCGAGCAGATTGCAAGAAAAAAAAATTTCTTGATGACCAGAAATCCTCCAACCCCCCCCTCAAAAGTTAAATGGTCGGCCCCTCATATTGTTTCTATCCGACAGCTAGTAACCGATGTTGACAAAGAAACAAAACTTAAAATGTATAATTTTACAAGAAGCATACTGTATTTCACAATTATCAAGGTAGGTGAACTGTTTTAGTTGCCTTCTATAAATAATTCTGTGTACAGATTTGCTTTGAGCGAGTTTCTGGTTAAATAGACACAAATGGTATAAATCAAACAACAGGAGAGAACTGACGTGTCAGAATTTACGATTATCAAGCATTATCAGAGGCAAATCCTATTTTAATGAACTCCTGAAGTTTCGTAATCAAGTATAATTTTCGTTCTTAACGAAGGCTACTCGAATTCGACCATCACATAAATCGCCTTGGCTATTTGCCTCATAGGAATTTGTTCAGTAATGTTAAAGGATTTGCCCGAGAATGAGACGTAATCACAGTGATTTATATTGAGATCACACACCACAACTACGGTAATTCCAGTTCGTTATTCCTGGAGTATATCACACGGGGTTTTTGATGATTCTACCCATACGATAATCGTACACCTGCCGGCAGAAGAACACTAGATTGGGATCTGTTCGAGGCTGAGGAACCGAGCCAGGCTTTGTACTTTCTCCTGGGGGAACCGGAGACAGTGGAGCTTCTCTGAATTCACGAAAGAGTCTGTTAAGAGCACGGAACCTGACAAGTACAACAATTTAAAAGGCGCCATTAAAATCACGATTAAATTTGACAGCAAATTAACAATTATGCCATGCCAGGCGTGGAGGTGAATAGGGGCGAATATTTCCCGAACTGCAACATACCAGGGTATTGATGTTCACGATGTTTTAAAACCGAGAAAAGCATACGGAATTCAAAAACCGTGGTGAAAACCTTGGAGACGAAACAGAAAGTAGGTCCAGACACAGGATAAAACAGGTAGATAACATAAAGTAAGGCGTTCTTGTCAACAATATTACCTGCAGTATTCGGGATAACTCAGAACGTAGCACTTGTCTACAATACACGCTACACTGTTATCATCTTTGTGTCTCGATGCCATCACCTCCATCTATTGATAGTTCGCAAAAAAAAAGGACACATTGTTTAATACGTGTTAGAGGGTTACAGCTTGTAATACAAATGAAACATACGCATGCGCAGTTTATACAGTAAACGAGATATTCTGAAAAGGAAACAGTGTAACAAAGAATATTTCTAGTCTGTAAACACCAAAGATAAGTGTTCAAAGAAACAATAAAAGAGAGGAATAAGGGGTCACTGTTATGGTAAAGCCACCAAAGAAATTGAATGAAATATTTCTTTCAACTACTCCAACCAACAACTGGAGAATGAAGTTTAAAAACAAGCGGTGTCTTACATCGCCATGAAAGTTTGGAATTCTCCCGACTTCAGTCTGCTCAGGTCGATAATACCAAAACACACTCATCATCATCTCGCCAGCGTTCGGACCTGCAATTAAGAAAAGTCCGTGTCAGTCAACACATGCCGATGTTAACCGAAGTGTGGACGAAGCTGAGGTCTTTTACGGATGTACAGGCCATGCCATAAGAAAAAAAATATGTCTCCCTATTTTCTTTTAAGTTTGATAAACAGAAAATGGCCGCCTAAAGATCAACTTATCATAAAGCAGCCATTAGTGGACACCTCTAGCCCGGGGAACAACTTATGCATACGGTTTATGATTTTAGAGAGCAGCAATTTACTAAAAAGACTTCTGTTATTAATTGCCCCAAACCAGTTTTTTTGTTGGTCCTTCTTAACAAGAGGTAAAGGTGATAGCATCAACCTCTTTAAAGGCACAATATTCTACCACTGTTTTTGTTTTTTGTTTGTTTTGTCATTGGTAGCTGTAGTGGTCCTTCACAAACATTCTAAATGTCACCTTCGGCCGAAATTCAAAATAGCACCTAATTCAGTCGCGTTATCAAATTCAAACTGACTACGATGCGATCTCAAGCGATCCTGCAAAACCAATCGTATCAGTTTTAAATCTCTCAGCGAAGATTTGTTAATAATGAAACTAGCACCGAAGCCTTCCCCATAGAAATGATGCAGATTGATAAAAGTCAGTTGCACCGACTGTGTAACAGAAAAAAAGGAGGAATAAACTCGCCTTCTTCTTCTTCCCACAGCCCTGAAACACGTGCAACGAAAGGTGGATCCTTCTTCCGGGTTCCTGATTTGAGAAGAACCGAGTCACGTACATTGATGATCTCATCTCCACGCTGAACACCGCTGTAGTAACGCCGTATCACTATAGTCTCGTCCTGAAAGTGAGGTCGCGTCTTGTAAGTTAGGAGGACTTAATTGTAGAGACCAATCAGAAGCCGTATACGATTTTTTTTTTCACAAGGGAGAAAAATCGTATCGGTTTTTCCCGCCTTTCGGGTCGGCCATGCGAAGTAATTAAGAGTTAATGGTTACAAGGTTACCTACTTTCCCAGAATAATGGCTTCAAGGTTTGAAGACTGGCTCGTTCGTTTGCGATTCTTCACAACGCGCGAATGAAGATCATTGGCGCTCTATATTTCTTGCTCAACTGTGTTTCACTAACATCATAGTTCATATAATTATGAGTCTATCTGAGGAGGATACTTTCAAAAACCCTACACTAAGGAGTGGTTTCAGTTGTAATATAACAGATTAAACAGACTGTGACAGACATATTTACAATTACTTACGTAGCAATACGGTTTGTCTATAGGATCGCCAATGAACATCCAACCATTCGTTCTCTGTAAAGTTAACAATGACGATCTCATCAATAAGTCGATATGCAAACACACCGACTCATCACAAATACGTTCACGTGTGGAGAAAGCTCGTCCTACAGCGCTAACAATAAGGACCTTAAAAATAACCAGTGAACACATCGGCGTGATTTGTTCGAGAGAGAAAGAAACCGTAGCTGGCGAAATGGTGAAAGCTGGTATGCAATTAATGAGAATCACAGAAATACCACTGAATTCCAACCAAACAGCAGCGTAAACAAGGGTTTCATTAGCTTTTTCCATAAGCGGCTGCTGAAAATCTAATAGGAGGCTGTGCCCGAACAAGGGGCCATAAGGCGAAACCCAAACACGAGAGCCCGCTCGCAGGCTCAACTGACGGCGGTGAGAGGTCTTATGGTCAGGGGTAGACCGCTGGTAATCGGAAAGTTATTGAAACCGCTGCATAAAAGTCAGTGCTCTGTATGGACAGAGCTGAATAACGTCCAAGGTATGCGGTCAACAATGCGGGCCCAAGCTTGCGAGGTTTAAAATTTCGCGAAAATTGCGAAAATAATAAGTAGCTGGCATTTAAAACCGAGGCATTTTGTTGCCGTCGAAAGTATTTTCCTATTCCAAAGTAATTTTCGATAATATTTAGGGGGTGTACAAAGTTTTTGGAAGTTGTTCTACAAAAGAAAAGCGGCAAGGAAAACAACAACTCGTTGCAAGAGAATATAAAATCGGCCATGCGAACGACTCAAAATCCGTGTTTCCGCGCCAAAACCTAGCATGTGCGCATACATTATTCAGCTTTGTCTGCTGTATGGTCATAGTACCAGCTTATACCAAGATACCATTTCCTTGCACAGAATTCAGCGTATCAAGGTACAGCCATCAATAGCTTTTGATGTTTTGGTTGTTTTGGATGCAGACAACTAAACGAGAAGCTTCTAAAATAGACGGATTCAACAAAGCGTAAACGCGTCATCTTCGATGCCACCAAATTCTTATTCTCATTCTGAACGTTAGGGTTGTGTTGTTCATAATACTCGCGTGTACTCAGTGACAAACCGCACAACAGTAACCTACCAAAGCAATTAACAAATCATCCGAGTCGGGGGTAGACAAGGATGTCAACACGTTCGCCGAATTCGTCCACTGTATAATGAAGGCTTTTAAGCCAAAATCGGAAAACTTTCAAAGATGTACTCACTGCTGTAAGCCAAAAATTACGTGTGCTACATGACACTTGAGGATTAGCCTGCCAGCTGGCCTCTTCATCAACGCCTCTGCTCAAGCATTTCTTCGCCTGCGGAAATGTATGAGGTCTTTGGCAATCCGGTCGGCGAGAAGTCCGTGAAGGGGTCTAGGACTGACAATGCCAGACCCGCGACAGATCTCGCCGACTTGTCTCCAATCTTCCCGCAGGCGGAGAAACACACGTCCAGCAACACCAATTATTTAGGGCGCATGCGTACAGGCAGGCTAACTGAGGATACCCTTGGATAAGTTTAGCAAGATGTTTAAGACTCTCTCTTGCCTTGCTCATACAAACCTTGGGTTGTTTGGGTTCCGCGCGGGCTCGTTCGGCAGCCAGCTTCTCAAGATGAATATTCAAGCTCTTTAGCTGAATGCTCTTTAACGGGTTTCCCGCAGGTCGGCTTCGTCCCGCGCTCATAGTAGACGTGGAAGTCGCCGCAAAGTTTATTTTAGGGATCTTGAGCTTCACAGAAGATGAGGACTCGGACATTTTATTGACGAATTCTTTGGCTTTCCTGGCCTTACTGCGCTCGTTAATCAATCCGCTCACTGATTTAAAGCGGCCAAGGGGCCCATCGTTTGCGGAAAATGTGTTCTCCATGGCCTGATGGTTGAGCCCGACAGCACGCTTGGTAGTGGCCGTCTTACTCATTTTAAGTTCAGGTGGAGGTTTAGATGGCGTAACAGGCGTGACCAAGTGACTCTTTGTGAAGGGTACTGGACCGCCTGACGTAACAAGCTGTCCTTTGATTGGTACAGAGAGCACACGCACATGTTTGAGCGGGGGACGTGGAAGGTCTACTTGGATACACACGTCCACCATTGTCTTTGGTGGTGAGTCAGTAGTTGTGTCGCATTCTATGTCCTTATCTTCTTGCTCGTCTTCAAACTCCATCAGTTCTTCTTTCTCTGCAGTATTATCTGTCTCATTACTGCCTTCCAGGAACATCCTCTTCGTTTTCCTATCACCTTCAGAGGTCGAATCTGCCTCCGGTTTTCGCTTGTGGTTCTCTTTCCCCGCATTGTGTCCATTTGCAACAAATTCTAAATTATTAGCAGCAGGTTCCGTATGGAGATTGCTGCCCAGTCCCTTAGGACTGACGATCACTCCAGCACCCGCCGGTGGATCCCATGTGGAAGTAACTTCACTCTGTAGAAACACGTCTGCCTCAGGAAAATCCTCTCGATCAAATTTTATGTCGACTCCATATGCCGCGTTAGAACTCGAATTCGATCTGTCTGAGAGCTTCCTTTCTGATGAAAGCCTTCCAGGAGGTTTCTTTGTCGCGTGCTGTTGAATTTCAAACATACTCCGTCCAGCCAAGGGACTTGAAGGTTCAAAAAAGACATTTACTTTCGCCGCAGCGTTCAAACTCGCCATTCGCGGCGTTCGCCTCTGCGCCAGAGAACCGCCCTCAAAGTCCACAGGCGTTTTATCAACGTACCCAGGTGTGGGCGCCAGACGTTCCAGCATTGACGTATGCCGCGCTCGCGTCCGCCGTGCACGTTTGTGTTCTGTGAAGTCTTTTTCACCGTCAAACAATGGAGGGTTATCTACTGTATTTCCCATTGCATGTCTCTCTTCTACCTCCATGCTCTCCGCAGTGATCAGTAACTTTGATGTCGGGCAATTCGTGTACCTAAGAAACTCCAAGTGAGTAGAATCCGTGGTTACGCTTCGATCATTGTGTATTTCACTGTTAACCCAACTTTGTTTCTCCTCTTCCGCGTTTAAGTGGGACTTTGGTTTTCTTACTCGTCTTAATATTGGATATTGTTCACCGCAAGCTTTTTCAAGCTGCCTTCCTGATCGTGTCTGAAATGAAGAAAACAAGTTAATACCTTGCGGCGTGAACAGCCATGAAATTATAGCAACAGAGCCTCCCAGTGCATGTACCAGAATTATTACTCTCGTTCCTATAAAAGTAATTCTGTCGTGCAAACTTCAACAATCGACAAGAATTTTCTCGTTTTATGGGCACACTGACTACTACACAAGTACAAGAGTCAGGACAAAATCTTGTTTTTTTCCTTTGTCGAAGAATCGGTTGGCACTTGATGCAAAACGACATAGAGATTAAGTGGCCTATGAATGTTTGTCAAGTCGCTCTGAAGAGTTTGGCGAACAGCGATAACAACACCTTATTTACCGCTTACTTCACGATGCTGTCGCATGGTCGGTCAAAATTCAAAACGATAGCTTGCATCAGGTGGCAGAAATTAGGGATTAAAACATTGGAGCCGCGTCACAATAAAATGAGTCAATTCCCTACGAAGGGCAAAATTGAGTTCTTCTCGATGGACTCTACAAAATATTGGTCGGGTAAGAAAGAAAAACACAGCAGAGGAAATTAAAAACAAAAGAGGAAAATGGATGACTAAATATGGAGAAGATTGCAACGGATGACGAAGTTGAAAAATGTTAATGAGTCAACAACCGTGACGTAACTCTTTAAAGTTGTCAAATCAAACAAACAAAGCCACAAAACAAGCAGAAGCTTTTGCAACCACCCTCTTAGACTACTTTTGACTACAAACAAAACTTGCGATGTGTTTAATTACGAAATTCATTTGATGAAGTCTAAGCCGTAACAGGCAAGCCACCAAAGAAAAAAAAAAACGCTCGAAAAAAACATCAACTCTTGCATAACATACGTTGGCATCTTGTTTGAAAAACTTATAAATGCAAATAAGATCTCCAAGGTAACTTGCTCGTAGTCAATAAAAGCTTCCTTCTCAAATCGGAATCGAAATCCATAGAAATAAAAAAGAAACTAAAGTAACGAAACCAGTTTCATTTCACCTGGTAAATTTGGAGGATTTCAGCACTCGATAGCGATTGGGAAATCCGCCGTATGCGTAAAATTTAACATAGTGTAAAGGGAAATCAATATAAGGTTACGCCATCAGAAAGACCCCATGCATCGTATCAACTTTCGAACTTGTTGACAAAACCCTTATCGCCAAATTGTAACCGCAACCATCTCCCCACTGGAGGAAAGTGCTTTTCTGAGCCGAGTCAGCCATTACAATCAGTTCACTTGAAAAAGCCTTTATCTCTGATTGTTTTTCGTTTCCCTTGGCCGCTTTTTTAAGGGCGTTTAACTGTAAATATGGTTTTGTAATTTCACTGTAAAACGGCTCACATTAAGGTCATCGCTTCTCGCAAAATGTTCAGACAATGAAGTAAACGGCTTTCCAACACTTCCTTCCCTTCTGCGGTGGATATAAATAAATTTGCTTCCAGGCCGCTTGCAAGATAGCATCTTACATGAAAGATATACGAAAGAAAGTCCGTAGCACTTTCAACGAAAGCCGATTAGTTCTAAACAAAGGGATAGATTGGGAGAGACATGCAACAGACATCAGTTCTTAAACAAAAATTCGCACTGAGTTTTCTAGTTCATCATTCGCAATCGGCGTCAATCTTCTTTATTCTCAAGCATCCCTATTCATTCGTAGTCCATTAAGGTCTCTGTCACATTTTCATTTCTTACCGAACTAATGATTAAGAAGTCTTCTTAAGTAACACACAGCCAGGCGAGGCAAATATGCGATCACTGAGGCGTGAAGCAAACATTTCTTTTCCACCCTGACGCTCAAGGTCACGGAAACTATAGATTACTTTAGCACTGACTGGTACAGAGCTGTCCAAGCCAGCTCGAGAAGAAGAGTTTAAACTGTACAATACATACATATCTCCAGTGATACAGCAAGAATCATGCCGAACAATCGTCCCGAGCATGTGACAAAGAAAACACAGAGTCCTTCATAAAGAAAATTCCGATCTAGCAGTTGATTGCTCTACATGTACCAACTGAGCTACGGAAAACCCTTGGGTGAGCTTGGCTATGTTCTATGTATGGATCACAAAATCGAAAGCGCACTGAGTACAGACAGTCGAATAGAAAAGAAAAAGATATTTAGCACTAAAAGGATCGTGGCACAAAGGCACTCTTGGAATCCCATTTTTCTCTGACTTGTTTTTTAGTTACGTTGTATCAAGAAACATGTACGAAAAAATATCCCATTGGCTAGCCGTAGATTGTAGATATTTTAGTCCTGATATCAGGTCAAAGCAGTGAGCGCTATGAAAAGGAAAACAAAAGCGTCGTGGATAATCATCATAAAACCCAGTTTTCAATAATCATAGAAAAACCTGACGATAATTTTGTTTGCTTAGTGTAAAAATTTATGGTGGTAGTTTGGGTAGAATTAGTTTCAACCTTTTAACACTCTTAATGCTACTCTCACAGAGCATCTTTTTTGTTTACCACCTTGTAAACCCAATTCCTATTGGGTAAGGAAATCACTCAGTTATTTGATCAGTTAATGTTTCAGTGCCGCAGCCACCGTAGGAAATATCCCTAAATGTGGTCTAACAGAAACAGGATATCGTTGTTGAAACAGTGCATGGTCAATCAAACACAAAGATAAGAGTCAAATGAAGTAGAAATTGATTTCACCCTAGACATAAGAATGAAGATCCAACAATTCTGTGCTTTTCTAAATTTTAAACTCGAAAAACCTAATGAGTTTCTGCTCACTGAACACAAACAAAATGCTGTTTTTGCAGATGGGACTAGATAAAACAGCTGGCACAGATGCCCTTGTTGGTCTACAGGGCCTTTGCTGTAAACACTAAAAGCTCAGTGAGGAGATTGGATTATTTTGTTATCTGTAACAAGATGTGTTGTTTGCAATGAGCTAGATTCTGTAGTTGTGTCAAAAAATACTCTTCATCTGTAAATGATGGTTAAAAGAGGAAAAAGGAATTTTGTCTTTAGTCAGAAAACCAGGTATACACGAAAAGAGTTAGTTTCTCTGAATACCACACTCTCAACACGAGTTGAATTAGTACTCATAGACATTCAACATCAAGTTCAGATGCCCAAATGAAGGTTACATAAAACTCAAGGTGTTGCTGTTTATGTGAAAAAACAAATCAGAATGCTGTTGGGCATAATTTGCATGATAAAGTAAAGCAATGCACTGTGATATAAAAGATGCAACATTATTAAAAGCATGGTATTTTTTTTTGCGAAAATCATCTCATATTCAACCGAAACACAGGCACATCTACTCTTTCATAAGCAGCCATCATGGACCTGAGTAATTGCTACTCTCAAGTTTTCCATAAAACATGGTAACAAAGACATTAACTCACAAAAGCAATTACCAAACAGACGAAAATCAGGACTTCAAACAAAAGCATGTATTTTTAGGCAGAAATGCCATCCAAGATTGCTAAAAAGCTGAAAATACTTGAACGAAACCATACACAGAGCTGAGCACTTATGCAAAACTGGCATATTAGAGAAATACAAGGGCATGTTAAATTATCATAACCAGGTTAAGGGCATAACTTTGAGTTGATGCTCTAAGCTTTTCTCACAAAAAGTTGTATAGATTGTCAACTCCAATGTCAGTACCTCACAGCTTGACACCAACTAAGGAAGTGAAAGGTGCCACTTTTCCCAATAATAGAGAACTTATCACAAAAATAACTAATAGATCGGCCTACAGCAAATGTTGTTGTTTTTGCTTAAATCAATCTCTGATAAATTTTAACCAAATATTTGTGAGTTACATGGAACTCAGAGACTAAACATATCTCTGAGATTATGATTTCCCAAAACAAAAGAGCCAAAAGCATGAAATAAAAATGACAAATTTAGACTATTGCAGCACTGAAGTTTAAAGGTGCAGCAGGCTACAAAATTGGTGTTCATATCCTACACATGTTATTTTCTGTACCAACATAAACAAAACCACTTATGCTTACACTGAAGTTTACTTAACAATTATAGTGCATTATTCTCTGGATCTATGTGTCTTGAGTCTGGAAAGCCATGAACTCGTCTCCCTTTAACTCTAAAAAATGCTGAACATGTAACTTCTCCCTTAAATATTCTATACAAAAACTACTAAAAAGGTAATAAGAATACACAAATTTAACATGATCTAACCCCAAATTTTTGTAATTAATTTACAACGAAATGTTTAGCAGCCAGAGACAAAAAGGATTAATAATCAGATCTAAGGATTTAAAGGGTTAGTTTGTGAAACTCTCAAACAGAAAGTACTGCTGTCAGGTCCAGGTGACTTTAAGGTCAGTTTAATAAACAAAACATTGTTTAAGAAAGTGCTGCCCATTCTAATGTGATCAAATAGTTAAACTAGCCAGAGATAACCCAGCTCAAGGATGCTCTGCACAAACTAAAGAAAAAAACAGACAGGTAAGGATGACTTACAGTAAAGGGTCATAATCTCTCCTAACTTACAATCCATCCAGACAGAGGGGGTAAAGTAAAAAATGGCTGTCAGAAATTCCTTTAGGAAATGCTAAGCTGGAAGGGTTGGATGAGAGTAATCCTCAAAATTTTACACAATACACTACAGCCTTGCCTTGACAATGTAACAAACTATCAAACTTTTCCTGGCCTCTTTTTTGTTAAGAAAAACTTACTTTTCGATGACACCTTTTAAAAATAGGATGTGAAACCCATAGATTTGAATACAGCCCAACTGCAAGAACAGGACCAACTTCAACTGGCCTCATAAATTATCATTTTTACAACTTTCTTCCGGCATAACGCTTTTCAAACGTAAAAACGCACTTGAAAAATTCCAAATTTGGGTTTCAACAACAGGATAAGGAAACCTTCTTTTGGTGAAGAAAGGAAGTTAGGCTCCATTCCAAACAGAAATTTTGACCACAAAGCAGCAAAACAACTGAACTTGTGAAACAAATGAAGACTGCGTTTTAGAGATGTACGAAAACACCCGATTTTGCGTTTTTCTGAGTTACACTCT